GAGTACTCAAGATGCCAAGCAGATGAAGACATAATTGACAATTTTATAGGCCCAGTAGCGGTAGGTAGACAGGTACCAACCCAAATCAAAGTGCGTGTCGTAGATGTACCTGACACATCACTAACCTAATCAACCCCTCGACCTTTTCGGTCGGAGGGTATCATTATCGATTCTAACCATCACAGCGCGTGTCATAATAACGCGCGCACATACTGTCGAAATTTTCTCCACCGATTTGCCCCGGCACCAATGGCTGAGGAAATTGTTTCAAGTGTCACGCTTAACTGTGCACACCCTTTTCATTTTTCTGGCCCCGTCGTGGTAGCCGACGTCGTCACCGTGTCAAATGCAAAAGCATGGCCAAATACCCTTGTAAGTGTATTTGGTCCGACAACGCTATCCTTATCCAGCAGAAGAACGGAGAGTAGTCTACTACCTGGAGGACAAGAGTCATTCTCATGTTGCCGACTATGCAAGTGGGCTTTACGGATCGTCATGGTTTTGTTTTATCAAGCCTAACGGTACCTTAAGGTGGGTACAGGACCTTCAACGCCTGAATGCAGTAACGATACGAGATGCGGGAGGTTTGTCGAACACAGATGCGTTGTCAAAGTCATATGCCGGGAGACCTATCATTTCTTTAATAGACCTATATTCAGGGTACGATCAGTTCCTGATGTATCCGCCTGATAGGCCTATGACGGCGATGCATACACCAAGAGGACTGATCCATATAAATGTGGCACCACAGGGTTAGACGAATGTTGTGGCAATGGTGCAGAGACATATGGTTCGCGTTATGCAGACGGTTAGTCCACAACTTACGCAACCATACATTGATGATTTGGACGTGAAAGGCCAAAGGAAGAAGGATGAGACGGAGGTCATGCCTGGGGTAAGGAAATTCGTTTGGAGCCATATACAAGATATTGTTTGGGTTCTTGACATTTTGAAGGATTATAACCTTGTCGCAAGCGGACTGAAGTCAAGACATTGTATGCAGAAGGCGACCATATTAGGCTTCACGTGTAACGAGAACGGTCATCGCCCTGACGTCAAGAAGACTAACAAGATACTCGAATGACCGGTGTCATTCGAATCTGTTAGTGAGATTCGTAGCTTCCTGGGGACATGTGGCTTTTGGCGAGTTTTCATCAAGAACTTCGTGGAAAAGGCTTAGCAGCTGAGGAAGTTTGTGAGGGGATAAAAAATGAGAATGGGATGAAAAGCAGGAAGGAATGGTAAGTGGTTTGAAAAAGGAGTTTAGAGAAGAAGGTTTAGTCTTGGGAGTCCCTGACTTCGAGGCAATGCCTATACATCCTTTCATTATGGAAATCAATGCAGGGCCTATAACCTTGGGTAACATTCTGATTCAGGCAGATGCAAATGGAGAGGAGTGGCCTTTGAGGTTCGAGAGTCGAACCTTGGATGGCACGGAGAGGAACTACTCGCAGTTCAGGCGGGAGACACTTGTAGTTCTCCACTGTCTAAGAGTATTCCGCAACTACCTTTTTGGAAGGAGGTTTGTGCTGAGAGTTGATCCGATTGCGTTGGTCGACTCATTGAAGAACTATACCCCATCGAACCCAACTATTGCGAGGTGGCTCATCTATGTATGAATGTTTGACTTTGAGCTAGAGCGTATACCTGGGAATAAAAATCGGGTTGACGGGCTTAGTCGGATCAATTGGGATGAATCCGGCGAGGGAGTTAATGAGGAAATACCTCCTGTGGATGCGTTCCTTGATGAGGAGGAGGATGTGAAGCTCCATATCAACGCGAATGTCGTTGGGGTCAGCGAAGTCCTTGTACAAGGGCAGTCTGTTTTTCTTGCTCCTGCAAGGTACGTAAAACGTGCGGATAAAATCCTCAAGGACTTCGGGGAGAAGGATCTTTTGGGAGGAAAGGAAGTCGAGTGGATGGCAAAGATTACATTGGCAGAGACCTTCCAAGTGGGAGAAGATCCGCTGATCATTGAGAGTGAAGCTTACTCACTCGATACACACGTGAAGTATGTGGCGGATGTTAGTTTCCTCGTCAACTTGATCGTCCAACTGCATGAGAATGGAGAAGGAAGTCGAGACCCTATTAGAGATATGGAAGAGGAAGAGTTCGACTCGGAGGAAGGATAAATAACAAAGGTTTTTCGTGCAAATGAGTACAAAGGCGTATATCGTGAATTGGGCTTGTTTCTTTCGTGTGAGATAAAAGAAAGAGAAGCAACCAAGAAGGTACTCGAGATGCGACAACATTTTTTGGTCCGGGACGAACACCTTTTCATCAAAAATTAGGTTGGCGACCCGAGGAGGGTAATCTGCGGCCGAAATCATCAGATAGACGTTATAGTCACACTTCATGACAGACTCGTAGGCGGTCACATAGCGTTTGCCTTGACATATGCGAAGGCGAGTGAGCTTTATTACTGGGAAGGAATGAGTGAGATGATTCGCAAATATTGCGAGTCTTGTATTCCATGGCAAAGCGGGGCATCGACTATGCAAAAGGGGTCATTGCACCCACGGATTATATGTGAAGCAAGGGCAGTGGTCCATCTGGACCTATTGGCAATGCCTCAGGGAGTGGGCGGCTACAACTACATCTTCGACGCACGGAGTAATCTTACGGGGTTTGTCGATGAACGAGTCATTCGAAGTAACACGGACGAAACATTGGTTTTTTGCATCTCCGAGTATTTCCTGAGATATCCTTTCGTAGTAGAATTTGTGATGGACAGAGGGTCGGAATTCACATGTGGAGAAATGAGAACCTTGATGCAGGAGTATGGCGTACAAGCCAGCTACACGACTAGGGCACATCCACAGGCGAACGCCCCAATTGAGAGAGGGCATACCACCATCACGAATCTACTGTCGAAATGGACAAATGGCAAGGAGAATCAGTGGCCTACGCATCTGCACGCAACATTCTTCGTGGAGAATATTACGATTAAGAGATCCACGAAGTGCGCGCCAGGAACGCTATGGTATGGGAGGCATGCCAGACTCCCGATAGAGAGCTTTCCGAAAACGTGGAGAGGGCAGGATATGGAGAGCCCCTTGTCCTTCGAGGAACTGTTGGATTTGCGGGTCAGACAAGTTGGCATCACAGAAGAGAGGATGCAGGAGGCGGCTGATCGGGTAACAGACAGTCGGTTGGGGGATAAGGAGAGGTGGGATCTCCTTCCACGAGTCAGGAAGGAGCCATTGGAAGTCGGGGATGTGGTGTTACTATATGACTCGTCACTAGAGAAACAGTGGTCTCGTAAGTTGGACAAGCGATGGCTAGGCGGTCTAGGCCCATATCGCATTAGACGATGCAAGCAGCAAGAAGCGTATGAGATTGAGGAGCTTAACGGCACGCCGTGGAGAGATTGGGTCTTGGGTTCGAAACTGAAAAAGTTCAGAGCGCGAGACTAAGGTAAGGGGACGAAAAAAACGCAATAAGTAGAAGTAGTATTCGATTCCTTGTCTTATTGGGTAGTACTCTGCATTAGTGATAGGATAGGATTGTGCATTAGTATTTAGATAGGTCTTAGTATGAGTTTTAGTTTGTTAGTCAGGTCAGTCGTCTGAGGGTATGAGAGATTTGCTTGGGTTAGTCAGTAGAGGCATTCCCCTTCTTCTCCTGTGCTTACTTTTGTTTCCTCTATCATCCGTCCTTCTTATTTGTGCAAGGTTGACTTTTCGAAGTTGGTCACTATTTGGAGGTGCGGGAGGATGGTGGGATAAGAGGATGAACGACTAGCCACGTCTTCGATATCGGACCCTTTCCGTTACGGGGGTGGACGTGTATTTCCATTTTTTGATGGATTAGTTAGGCAGGTTTGGGTCCTTGGGTTAGATTTCGCTCAGATGACAGAGAGGGTTAGGGGTACTAACAACTATGAGGAGCGTGTGGCTCAGATCATGAAAGAGTCATTGGATTGGAGGCAGTTCGCCAAGCGGATGCTGAGATTGCGGCCTCAGCCCATTGATCGACAAGGTAGGCCCATGCGGTTTGATGGGGCTAACCTGGATGAGTTTCTTAAGGTTTTCATCATTTTTGGGGATGGGCAGAGATGAACAAAGGCACAGAGGGTTCGGCAGGTTCGACACTAGGTTGTCCCGGAGCTTAGACATGAGGTGAGTACCATGTCACATACAACGTAGACTTGGGCGGAGCTTATAGCAACGCTTATGAGGTCGTTCACCGCAGATAGACGATGTAGGTTGCGTAGAGAGGTTGGGGATTACATCCGGAGCTCAGGAAACGTCCACGAGCGCAGCTAGAAAGGATCGAGGACGATGAGAGACGGTCACGGGAGCGACAGGGAGAGAGTGAGCAGTTGGGGATCCCACGCAGACCTAGGACATGCAGGCGCCGAGGACGTCAAGATCGAGGGGATGATCTAGAGGGGAGAGATCAGGTGCTGACCATGAATATTGGGAGGACCCTCTTGACATGTGATGTGAGGGAGGATGCCTTATCAGTAGGGTCTAAGAGACAAAGTGACTTATCTACTCCGGAGACTTGGACATTGTCAGTACCAGAGACATGTCCGACTGAGATAAGGATTAAAGACTGTGATCCTGGAGATGCACCTGAGTCAGATGAGAGTACTCAACCTATGCTTAAACAAGATGGGGAGGAGGCTTCCCTACAGCTTGGGTTGACGATTGCTTCGGCCTGGCCTATAGAGGTTGATACCATGGAGGGAATGGTTTCCGATACTGCATCGGAGGATAAGAAGGATAGGCCTTCAAGTTATCAGTGGAGAGACACACGGGACATGGCACTAGATCTCCCACAAGGGGAGTTACAACTTATGATAGAACCTACCACCATAGTGCCGATGCAGGAGCACCAGGGGCCTCAGCCTGAGCAGCCACGAGAGACAATGTTGATGCATGATGAGCTAGGGTATGGTGGGCAGGAGGACCAACCTCAGTCAGAGCCAGCAATGGAGGATGGTGAGAGAGGTGAGATGAGGCCTTTAGCATTGGACGGGTTGCCATTACTAAGTGAGAGTCGATTGGCTGAGCAGCCAAATGAGCCTGAGGGTTCATTATGATATGAAGTCTCCTAGGAGGCAGATGCGACAAGAGGTATCCCAGTCTTCAGTCATGGATATAGAGACAGAGCAGGTTGAGGCTGAGGTTCTGGGGCTAGACAGGGAGGATCCCACAGAGGGCATACAGAGCCAGCGAGTGGAGTCGTCACCTCTAGATTTCGGGGATACTCCTCAACGAGATGGAGGTCAGAGGGAGACTAGCCCAAAGGGCCACGTTGAGGCACGTCCGGAGCATACCCAAGACGCACCCAGGACTCATGAGGAGGAGAGTTTGCCAGAGTCTCGGGGGCTGATAGATCACGAGTCTGTCAGGAGGGATGCATGGTTAGCCGAGGAGATGGGACAGATGCCATCATTACATTTTTCAGGTTGGTTCGCTTTTGAGCGATTGGGTCAGGGTGCGAGACCGCACTTGCCGAAGGGTCAGACCACTGGAGGGCTTAGGGTACTATATGATGACCTAACCATGCAGAGGACCTATATTGGTAACGACCTCACAGCAGCTCGAGAGGCAACAGAGCAGGTTAGAGATTACACGAGGAGAGTCGCCATCTGATCCTTTGAGCTGATTCGCGACAGGCAGACGGAGCACGATGCACTAAGAGAGGCAGTAAGTGACCTCTCTACGTTTGTTGAGGGAAGGAAGGTCCAGATTCTAGAGGAGGTTGAGGCGGTCCTCAGGATTCAAGAGAGAGAGGCTAGTGATTGGCGAGCCCAGGTTCAAAGGGTACTCGGGTAGTATGAGCCACCTGCAGACGCGACGGACATGAATAGGCTCGAGCGCAGGGTTGTCCTTGAGACTGTGCGATCATCCCAGTTGGAGAGCCAGGTGTCGACTCTTGTAAGGTTACGGCGAGAGACTGAGGATCAGACACAGAGGCTTTTCTATGAGGATGCGGCCACAGCCGGATGGCAGGAGGAGGTTAGGATGAGGAGACAGACAGGAGAGGAGCTCATGCCTGAGGGCGAGCGTACACAGGCAGAGGAGGGGCTCCAAGCGAGATCATTGCTATCTGAGGCCTCAGTGCGAGAGTTGGCAAGCGTGATGGAGCATGTCAAGAGAGGCACACAGACCGAGGTTGCGCGAGAGAAGGAGCTCCATGATGCGGTACAGAGGATAGACGTTCTGGAGCAGGAGAACAGAGGATTGAGGGACATGGTACGTGACCTCGTCACTAGCGCACAACAAGCGAGATAGTCCACCTCGAGACTTGAGCAGAGAATTACTGATTTAGAGGAGGGTAGAAGGCGACAAGCCATAACAGATCTAGCAGACGAGAGGAGGACTGAGGGGCAGCAGACTCCTATTGGAAAGACATACGTCTCTCATGAGGAAGAGCCTTGTGGAGTGAGATTAGACACTCGTCGACGAGACTCGCGGACGGACGAGCCACTTGGGGTCATGGGATTGACATGTGAGGAGGATGCAGTCATCGACAAACTCATGCTTGAGCCAGACGAGATTAAGAGAAGGAGAGAGGCAGAGGCGCGTGGTTTGGACTGGGTCCCTCCTTCAAAGCTGGCAGTTCAGGGAGATGTTTGGCGAGAGATGGGTGATAGGCAAGGCGAGCAAGAGAAGGTTTCAGAGTCACTAGGGGTCATACCACAGCAGGACACAAGGGGACCAACTGTGATAGTACCCACGACTAAACCATTTACACATCTCCAACTTTGGGGCCGGCGGAGGACATAGTGCACCTCCTTTCATCAGATCCTGAGAGATGTGACGAGGGAACAACGACTGAGAAGGTATCGAGGATGTTGAGTCTTTATACGGTGGATAGGGCCGTACGGGATGTGACGATCCAACTCGAGAGGGCACAAACTCATGTCTTACTCAAGCCTAAGAAGACGAGGGTAGAGGACAGCAGCACCAATAATACGTGCTCATGGTGTGATAAAGGAGTGCACGACAGGGTCGCTTGCCCTGCCTTCCAAGGTGACCTCAAGAGGCGAGTCGTGCAGTATGATGGACATGGGTGAGTCAAAGATATGCGTGGTGCTCTTCCAAGGAGACGTCATATGCTAGGAGAGTTGTCTGTGAAAGGCTAGGTATGAAACAAAGAGAGGATGAGTGATAGGTTATATGTCCGTGAGACGCGCGAGGAGTCAGACTATGAGATCTGAGAGAGAATAAATGAGGACAAGGTGGTTGTTATGAGAGAGAAATTATTGGACTCGTTCCATATTGTTATCTTCTACTCTGAGAGCTCCTTGGCATGGGCTTCAGGACCCGAGCCATGGATTATATGTAGTTGGTGATTAGATTTGACTCGTGTTTCAAAAAACTGTATATACGTGATGGACTACTAGTTTTAGTAGGATGGTTTGAGTAGGGGTTTCAAAGATTGTCATGGGCATGAGGGCTCAATTTTGTGTGAGTTTGTGTGAGTTTTGCATGAGCTTTGTGTGAGATTAGTGTGTGTTTGGTGTGAGTATGCGTCTGGTATGAGTATGGCTTTTCAAAGTAGGATAGTGAGCTAATGAGTGCTCTTGCGAGATACATTATCTCATTCAGGGACATTGTTTTGATGTTTGGATAGTGATATCTATTTGAGACGTTCGATTCTTCATGACTGATTCTAAGATTCGGAGCGCATTGCGCAAATGTATCATACGCAACACGGTACTGTGCAAGATTTTTTTTGTTTTTATTTGAGTATGCCCTATTTAATGGGTTTTGATCCAGATTTGTGAGTCTCGTACGGAAACAGGGAGCCATAAATATTCTCACAGTGTGGACTTCTGCCCACTTCCCTTGCATTTGTGATGACATTGTTTGTATCTATTTGTCGGATGTGAGTAAATTGGTTTGATTGTTGGACAAATGGTTACTGACCTTGATTGCATATGAATCAGTGTATGCAAGTCAGTGAAAATTGTTCGACAAAAATGCATGGAAAAAGGCTGGATCGGAAAGACAACCTAAATATTTGTTGGGGAGAGGGGGCCCGCTTGAGAAGTCACCCATATGTCTAAGGGGAGGGGGCCCGTTTTTTTGAGGAGCCGCCTGTTTATGTATGTAAGATGAAAGTGAAAATTTATGATCATCACTCGTTCCGTAAAGGTAAATAGAGCTTTGATTTTGCAGAAAACTGTCATTGGATAACCAAACTTGAGAAAAAATGTTCATATAATGAGGGGTTTCTTCGAAAGAGAAACTTGTTTGTGAGGCTTTGGGGTTCGCGGTCGCATCTGCCATAATCAAGTAGAACGAATGCAAGCATTGAAAGCTGGCCCAATAGTATTTTGGGAGGCTTAAGTCGGGGGCTAAACCGACATCGTTGGGGCAACCCCCAACATGGGCTGTTGTCCCGCATAACCAGGACAATGGACCCCTAGCTTAGCCTGAACTTAGAGACAGAGGGGTGACCCGCACCATCATCCATGGCATATAATATATATATATATATAAGTGGGTTATTATGGTTACTATTATTAATTACTACTTATTATTAATAATATTATATTTATTACTATCCTTGTTATTACTATTACTATCATTATATGGGAGAGCTAAATTAAGTCAAGTATCAGGTCACTCCAAAGGCTCTAACTACGGCGACTGCTAGTGGGTCCTTAGGTCCAAAAAGAGAGAGAGTGAGAGAGCCCTGCAACATCCAGCGTGTCAGTGGCGGGGAGCACAAGGGCAGGCGCTGACCTCCCAAAAAAAAAAAAAAAAAGTCATGTTATTGGAATACAAAAGTTTTTTCTTTTCGAAATTCGAATAGAAAGGGTACACATTGTATTCAAATACAACGTGTACGTGGACACACGCCGTGTCGATTTTGAAATGCTAAAACTGGAGAACCGTGGCCTCCTCGGCCTCCGACGGGCAGCTACCGGTCCTACGCAGTCCTGCCCATTGCCAGACCCCAAAACCTCAAAATGTCCACCCTCCCTAACGACCACTGACGTTGAAATTTCAATGACGTTGAAAGTCTGAGGGGGATAAAACGCACCCCTGACGGGCTGCGAACACCTGGGGCCATGTCCAATCCGCCCAGCCGGTAGTGAGATGGATGACCCTATGCCCCCTGTTACCCACACACAAAGGCCTGTGTTCCTGTTCCAGCCTACACTGGGCACAAGTGCATAAGAAGGGGGGGGGGGGGGGGGGGGGGGGCCGGAATTTTCAATTGCCCCTTGGATTTTTTTTTTTTGGAAAGCATTCGTCATTTCATTACAAAAAAAACCCTGAGACGAGGCCGGGGACCTCACAATTCGACCCGGAGTTATACTGGCAGCCTCAGCCAGCGTAGGTTTCGAGCATTAGCTCGTCTTACGTTCTTCTTACGCATCTGCAACCAGCTACTGCAGAAAAACGGGTCCAGCATCCCAGTTCAAAAGCTCTCCAAAAAAGACTTTAAAGCACACTGTCAGGTAAAAAAAGGCTCCGGGAATCTAGGCTAACAAAACTCATGTATTATACGCCTAACAATTCCTGAGCAACCATTCTTCTGAGTAAAGTCCAAGACTCATATGTAACCTGCAGAACCAGTACAAAATAAGATCTTTCTTCGGGGGATTGTGGGATCTACGGGCACCTAAGGTACTCACGCACGGGCTTCAAACGGCCCTAGATACAGCCGGTGCCTATCACCTCCCTATCTCTCCCCTGAGTAGCCATGGAGCAATCTTCAGTTTATCCTCCTGTATAATCATGGCCATATTGTTTTTCCAAAACCAAGTTAGGGCACCCAGGTTCTGCAAAACCAACTGCTGCCCTTGCCCTTGGACAAACGACATCTCTCCCAATCAGCTCGAATTGCCCCTTGGAGTTCTTCCCCACAGAGATAAGTCTTTTGTGGGCATAAGTAGCCTGTTATGTTCCCACGGGACAGAACTACGTAGCCCTGTTCAACTGCGCCTGTGCATAAGTAACGCCCGCACTCACCTGGGCGTCCCCGGCGCCAGGTACCTCTGACAGGTACTTTCTTGCCTGTTTTCGGGACAGGCGGGCTGTTCGCTCCCCTTTTTCCTACATCCAGCCGATGCACTCTCTCCCTGAGTGAAATCAAGCCCCCCTTTTTCCCTCTGCTGGCGAGATGCCATAGGCTGAGGGGTAGAGGTACAGGATATTTTGTGGTTTCCAAGGGGGGCAGCGACTCGACGGTAGAGGACAGACCTTTTCGACGTCACGTCATTGCCTGTGTGAGCTTTTGTTTGTTTGTTTCTTCTTTTTTTTTTTTTTTTTTTTTTTTTTTTTTTTTTTTTTTT